GGTCGAGATCTGCAACTTCCTCAGGTCTTTGTTAGTTCGGAGATTTGCTGCCAATGCCTCCATTACTATTATGGAGATAAAGTAGATATCCGGCGSCAAGTGTAGGGTGAAGAGGCCCCCCCCCTCCCAACCTCCTGCTCAGTCAATCCCTTGGATCCCAGGGTAATCAATGCTGGCAGCTGTGAATTGAATTTTGTCTATGTAAGGGACGTTGGACCCGGTTTCCACCAGGTGTTGCTCCCCACCAATAGATGGAGCCTCCCGTAGGTGCTAGCGATGTCTGCTCGTACCAGCACTGCTAGCACTGACGGGTGTGTTAAAAAAAAAAAAAAAAAGTTGATCCGAGCGACCAGCTCAAAACTACATTCAAAACACTCGATGGGCTGTACGAATTCATCGTTATGCCCTTCGGTCTTACGAATGCACCAACCACATTTCAGTGCCTCATGTACAAGGTTTTCCGCCATCAACTTAACAGATTTGTTGTTGTTTACCTCGATGACATCCTGATTTTCAGCAAATCCATGGAAGACCACGTCAAGCACCTTCAGGAGGTTTTGCAGGTCCTCAAGGAGGCACAACCGCACCTCAACTAAGAGAAATCTGACTTTGGAAGGGACAATGCCATCTATCTCGAGCACCGACTGTCTGCAAACGGCCTTGAGCTGGAGGCAACCAAGGTTGAGGTCATACGAAAGCGGCCTCAACCGGCGAACGTGCGTGAATTGCGTTCTTTCCTTGGTTTGGCTTCGTATTACCGGAAGTTTGTGCCCAATTTTTTTGTCATTGCTCACCCACTCTCGAGACTAACTTGCAAGAATGTTGCCTATGTGTGGTGTGAGAAATGCGAGGCTTCCAAGCCTTGAAAGAGGCTTTGGTAAGTCATCATGTGCTCTGCATTGCGGATCGCAACCTCACGTTTGTGGTCACTACGGACGCGAGCCAGTATGGGATTGGTGCAGTGCTGCAACAAGATGATGGCGACGGCCTGCGTCCGCTCGAATATTACAGCAAACGCATGCCCAACCACAAGGTAGCTACCTCCACATATATGTGTGAGCTCTATGCCTTGCAAGAAGCGCTCACACATTGGAAGCACTACCTCTTGGGTCGTCACTTCAAGGTCTACTCAGATCATCAGATCTTGCAGTGGATTAAAACGCAAACTGATCTCTCTCTGACACTGACCCGCTGGCTGCATGACATTGATGTTTACAATTTTGAACTGAAGCATAAAAAAGACTGTTATAATCGTGTTGCTGATGCTTTGTCACGTCATCCTGAGTTTTTGACTTGCCTTGTGAGCTCGTATGACCTCCGAAGGAAACTGAAGGAGGATCTGGTCGAATACACTGCCAAGGATGCGGACCTTAGTCCCATCCTTGAGCAGCTCAAGGCTGACCCTAGCAGTCAACCTGATTTTCACGAGTGCGAGGGTCTTGTATTCCGCCGGTTTGGGAAGTTTGATCGTTTGTGTTTACCCAACCATGCGCCTCTTCGGACTCATTTCTTGGATTTGGCACATGGTCGGAGTGGACATTTCGGCTTTGAGAAGACTTATGGAAGTCTTCTGCAGCAGTTTAATAGGCCGGGAATGAAGGGATCAACTCAAAAGTTTATTGCTGAGTGTCAAGTCTGTCAAAGGACCAAGGTCCATAGGCATAAGCCTTATGGCCTGCTGAAACCCCTCCCCATTCCTGATGGACCCGGTGAGTCGATTTCCATCGACTTCACGGACATGGGAAAGGTGAGTGAGGGGGGGAATTTACAAGTCATGGTCATCGTGGATCGTTTTTCCAAATTTCTGAATTTTTTTACTCCTTTCCCTCCGCATGCCCCAACTGAGCTTGTGATCGAAGAATCTCATCAACAGTACATTCTGAAGTTTGGCCACCCGAAAACTATTGTGAGTGATCAGGACAATAGATTCATTAGTAAAGATTGAAAGGACTTCACTTCTCAGATCTAGGACATTAAACTCAATAAGACTTCTAGTCGACACCCCGAAGCCAATGGATTGGCCGAGGAAATCAACCAGACTGTCATTCAACTACTTCGCGCGTTGATTGTTCCAGATCAGAACACATGGGACAAGGAGTTACACAAAGTGAAGGGGTTGTACAACAACTCCATTCACTCCGCAACTGGCATGACACCAAATCAGTTGCAATATGGATGGCAGTTGCGCAATCCTCTCTCCTATTTGTTCCCCGAACGGTCACCTGGTCTGACGCCCGACATGCCTGGCTACAATGCCAAGTATGCACGCTTGCTCAAAGCTGCTATCACAACAATGAACAAGCGTCAGCATGCCATGATCAAACATGCTAACAAGTCGCGCAAAGAAAGGAACTTCGAAGTCGGAAGTTATGTTTGGGTCAAAATGTCTGAGTTTTCTGACGAAGAGGGAGTGTCACGAAAACTTATTTCATTCTGCTATGACCCTTGGCAGGTTCTTCAGGTGATTGGGGATGATTTTGGTCCTTCGTATGTGATTGACGTGCCTCCTCATCTGCGCACCTATCCGGTCTTTCACGCGTCCAAACTGTTTCCACACATCGATGACGAGACTTTTCCCTTCCAAGATCCTATGATACCTCGTCCTATCGACGGTGGCCATGAGATAGACAAAATTGTTTCCCATGAAGGAAGAGGGAGGAACAGACAGTACAAGGTTCACTTCCTCTATCACCCGTTGAACGATTTTTTTCTGGATGGACTGAAAAGAGCTGCTAAAGAATGCTCCAGGTGTTGTTAATGCTTATGAACGACAAATCGCTAATGGACAGACTGCTAAGTTTTTTGCAAAACTCACTCCTCACGGTCTTACTAAATCTCTCTTTCTGATCTACGCCTACGATGCATTTTGTGCTGACTCTGAATGAGTTACTCGCTCGAAGGGACCTCGCTCTTGAGAGGTGACCCACGAAAAACACAGACTGAGAACACTGCTGATTTATGGGATTTGTCGCTGGAATGAATGCCTTGCCGAGATTCCCGCATTCTGCTGTGGTTTCCAAGTGTGTGTGTGTGTGTGTGTGCCTGCTG